TGTCTCCCCAAGAGTTCAATAGGATGAGAAACTAAACGTGAAGAGTTAATTCCATGGTAAGAGCCTCACTGGCATAGCCCTATTGTCAACTTAACAAAGGATGCTATTATTCCCCACCCACCCATCTACCCAAAGAGGAGGGGACCTCCTGGCCATAATTATCAGACAAAGATGCATAATTTAAAGGTTTTACATCAAAAGACAGGGCCAGCCTCTCCAGAAAAAAAAAAAAAAGGAGTCTCTTTCACCTAATCAATGGATTAAGCATTTATTTGTTCTTTGGTGTGTAAACAAAGGCAGTGCTCAAAACCCCCAAAGATTTTGCATTTTAAAAAGTGGCTGGCTCAGCAAGGTAATGGGCAGTGTTTTTAAACTTTGCCCTGGGATTTAAATTGCTAATCTGACAATGGAAGGCCACCCTAGGGACCAACTCTGTCGTTTAGAGTCGCTCTCAGACAGATCCAAGGCTAACCCAGCCTGCTACTTGCCCAATCTCATCCTCTGCATTCCTCAAGTGTTAGAATTTTTAAGGGAATGAACTGGAAAATAATTATGCAAAACCTCACATATGCTACTGCAGACAGATCCAAGAGGTCAGCCGTGTTGGTCTGAAGCAGTAGAACAAATTTAGAGTTTAAGACCAACAAAGGATTATTCAAGGTACAAGCTTTCGTGTGCAGGCACACCTTTTCAAGTGCACACATACGAAAGCTCATACCTTGAATAAACCTTTGTTGGTCTTAAAGGTGCCATTGGACTCTAAATTTGTTATACACTCAGGCTAGAACTCTGCAATTTAATATACCAAATGCCATCATGAATCGTTGCTCTGATTAACAGGCTGCGGAGACAAGAGAATGGACACAAATTTGAAACAGAAACTATTGGGAGGAGCATTGCCCTGTTTAACAGGCTGCGGAGACAAGAGAATAAATGGACACAAATTTGAAACGGAAACTATTGGGAGGAGCATTGCCCTGTTCTTGGACATTCAGTAACTACCTGAGCAGAAAAATTTCAAAGGGAGACTCCAGCAAGAAGCTGCTGGGTTGGAATTCATACGCAGATTTGACACTGTCAGACTTGGGCTCAGCAGGGTCTTGGAATGGCTGGCTCACTGTAAAAGTAGTTCCTCCTTACAAGTTTGTGGAAACTATTCAGATTCCTCCTGGTTTGCCAGTTCATCAATAGTTGTGAGATCAGGCACTGACCTGGATAGGCCAGGCAAGCCCAATCGTGTCAGATCACAGAAGCTAAGCAGGGTCGACTCTGGCAAGTACTTGGATGGGAGACCTCCTTGGAATACCAGAGGTGGGAGGACAGGGACAGGCTTTATTCAGCCACCTCTCTGAATATCCTCCAGGCCCCAGTAGGGGTCAGTCACCAGAAGTCGCCATAACTTCCAGATGCACACACAGTCACCAGAGGTCGCCTTGACTTCTAGGTGCGTGCACACACATGCGCATATGAAAAATGCAAAAATTTACCAAAAACCCCCGCTGTGAGATCAGATTGGATTGTTTTATCTTTTGGCTGGGGCTGGCTTTCACCTGTGCTCTGCACTGCAGTGTGGCACACTTTGGCTTGGAAAATTGGACCTTCTGACCTCTTTCTGTAGTAACTCCGTCCCCACAATTGACTGTAGCTCTGGGTATAAGTAACTCACTTTGCCAAATCGACTTAACCTGATGAAGTGGGATCTGGCTGCCATGAAAGCTGACGTCACGCTAAACGTGATAGGTCTTTAAGTGCCCACAACACCCTTTGGTTATTTTGTCTGCCACAGACCAACAAGGCTACCCCACCTCTGGCACCCCAGAAAATACAAGGATGGCTAAAGTCAGCAATACACCCTAGAGGCCTGAAGGATGCATGCCACAAAACGAGGTGGCAGAATCCTGAGGTGAAAAACAAACTGGACCACCAGACAGTATGTGGGGGAGGGGGTGGCACGGGTCACATCCTTCAGTGCTCTCTCACATTAAAAAAAAAATCAACCCGTAAAAAATTAGCACAACAGGGAGAAAGGGATTTTAGCTCAGCCTGCTCCTTGCTGTGCTGGTTCTCAACACAAAGAACAGCAGCTTTGAGCAGGGGAACACTCCACAATGAGCCTTCCCCCTACGTGGGCATGCACAGCCCTACAATCTGTGGCCTATTCTCCCAGCATTAGATGTAGCCTAGGCAGGATTTTGTGGCTTGTGGGGCAAACATTTTTCTGGGTGGGGCTGAAGTTCTCAGTGCAGAAAGGAAAGCCATTTAGCCGACAGAAAGCTGCTGCCAGGATAGATCTCTGAACTGCAAGCTGCCAACCACTTTAGATGACAGTTCTCAGCTGCTGTAAGTTAATCACTTCTGCCAGCCTAAGCAACAGTTCTGATAACAAGTTGACAAGCAGTGATCCCTCTAAGCTGAGTTAGTGTGAGCTAGCTCACAGTTTTTTAGCCTCTGGCTCACACATTTTTGTCTTAGCTCAGGAAGGGATGGCTCCAGAGCAAACTAATTTATGCAGTAGCCAAATTGCTCGCTCACAACTTTAATGCCAGTAGCTCACAAAGTAACATTTTTTTCTCACCAGACTACAGCTTAGAGGGAGTATTGCCGACAAGTGGGGCTGATAATGTCTATAGTCAAGAAAGCTAACACTTTAAGCAGAAAAACTCTCTTAAAGGAGACCAGTTTCTGGACACAGAGTTAGAAGGGATCCTAGAGGTCACCTACTCCAAACCCCTTGCTCAGTGTGGGAATTAGTCAACTACAGTACCCCACTCTGCTTAAAGGAGCACACACCTTTTAAAATATATTTGAAAATGACTAAAAGAGCATTTACAGGAGAAATTCTTGTGGGGCTGTGCCTTTAAGAAAGGGGGCGGGCCCCCCAAAAGCTCCACCGTAGTTAGGCATCAGGCATTCAGGTGTCTAGTCTACACGGATCTTAGTACTCCACATTCATTTGGGAATCCATACAGCATCTAATGTAAACGGAGAGCCTCTGTAGGAGCTACACAGAATTATCTTCAAACATATGTGGGGGGAAATAAGACAGACAATTTATTGCCTGCAAGAAGGGAAAAGGCAGAAAATGAGAAAAACCTATTACTTTAGCATCTCATTATTTCAGTGTCTGCATTTTCCTACAGCACAACGAATCTCTCTTTCTCCCTGCACGCCTTTTGTTTGCAACACATTTGGCTTCATCAAATTTCTTTTTAACTCCAGCCCCTTTCCAAGTTTACTCTACCTCTCCAGTCCTACACCAATAATCTGATAGGTTGAGTGCACAGATGTAGTCATGCACCAGCTTGCACAACATCTTCCTGCTATGCATGAGGATACATCGATCAGGGTTATTAAAGATGCCTTTTTCATGAGCGTTCCCTGCCTTCCTCTCAACCTGGTTACCCCGGCTCTCTTGCCTGGCTCTAACCCTAGTTCTTTATCTGCCAAGTCTGCAATGTAACTGCTTTAAAACTGTCATATTCCCCACACTTTCTGGTCCTGCCACCCATCTTACAAGGGGAGGGCAGGGCAGGGCAGGGAGAGGGGAGCATGCTCTTCAACAGTGGAGATCACCTGTAAGCCACCATGTGTAAGGCATCAGGGTGGGATTCAAACCAGGACTTTCCCTTGCCAGGTCCCAGTAGCTTACAGTGGGCTCCACAGGACCAGTGGCTGTGGAAAGCCAGGAAAGGTCAAACGCCTGGGCAGCCCAACAGCACCACCTGCTCTGCAGCCTCCACTGAGATTTCTGGGGTTACCTGACATTCTCCCAATCACATGATATCGAAGACCAACCCTGACAGCTCAGGCTGTACAAAGGCTTTTGCTTTTAGTGCAGAACACCTGCCACACTGTGGACGGAGCTGATGGAGACAGGGAGAGAGTCCCACTGTTCCCCCTACTGATTTATGGGAAATCCAGTCTTGCCTGTTTTTGACTATGCCCGATCCTTCTGGCCATTGGGTTCACTTCTGACCTCTTCCAGAACTGACCACCGCCTGGCCTTGATTTCAGGCCTCCTCACCTCTGGACCCCTCAGCCTCAGGCATCTTGCCTTTTAGAAGCAAGTCATTCTGGTATTGTCAGCCCGTTTGTCTCCCCACCCAAATTATCTTGTACCACCATGGGAGATCTGGCTCTAAGATCTGTGACCCTGGAGACGCCAGGGCTTTCATTTGCAAATACTATTTTATGTTTCTCATCCCACACTACTAGTTTTAAGGAAGGCAAGAGTGGATTAGCATTTATTGACTATTCACGTTATCTCGACAATCTCTGCAACATTGTAATTAGTACTGTCCCCATAGTTTAGATAGGGAGTGAACTGAGAGACAGTGGCTTGCGTAAGGCCATGGGGTTCAGTGCCTTTGCAGGCAGAATGTCCCAGCTTCAGTCCCCAGTATTCCCAATTAAAAGGTTCACACAGCCGGTGATGGGGAAGAACTGCAACCGAGATCCTGAAGAGCCACTGCCAGTCAGATTAGCATTTATTGACTGTTCACGTTATCTCGACAATCTCTGCAACATTGTAATTAGTACTGTCCCCATAGTTTAGATAGGGAGTGAACTGAGAGACAGTGGCTTGTGTAAGGCCATGGGGCTCAGTGCCTTTGCAGGCAGAATGCCCCCGCTTCAGTCCCTAGTATTTCCAATTAAAAGGTTCACACAGCTGGTGATGGGGAAGAACTGCACCCGAGATCCTGAAGAGCCACTGCCAGTCAATACACAAGACCAGCCTTGATAGAACAATGGTCTGAATCACTATAAAGCAGCTTCATGCATCCACTCAGTGCATTCGTGAGGATTTCAAAAGCTCAAAGGATCATACTTGATAGACAATTGGAATCACAGCACACCAACCTTCCAACCCTTAGCATGCCACGTTCAATAGAATTTAAGCTGTTGGCAATGAAGTGAGCAAAACAGAAACACCACAAGAAACATTTGCCTGCATAAAACACTTGGTCTGTCAAACCATTTCCCCAAACCCAATCCCTTACCTCAGAGAAGTATCTGGGTGTGCCTCCATGTGGGTTTCGAGCCCATACTTGCAAGAAAATTCCTTGCAACACACTGGACAACGATACACCTCTTCCTCTGTTTTCTTTTCGGGTTCGCTGCTTTGTGGGTCCTCCACAACCTGTTGGCGGTACAGAACAGAAAAAATGACTGCAACCAGATTGACACGAAAGCAACGGGTGCAGTGCTTAGAAACCTCATCCCGGAAGTAATTGCAGAGAGTCATGACTTTGCTACAGGCTATTGAAAAGGGACTCATTCCAGAGAAAACAGATCAATAAGGATTTGGTACAAATCTAACTGGTGTGCATTTCTGTGTAGGGCTTACTGACCATGGCTTCATGCCACAGACACATCTCACAGGAAAAATAGGGAAGGCCGACAAACACAGACGTGTGAGATGTTATTTAAGCAGGGTCTTTGGGCTGCTGTGTATATTAATCTTTCCCTTCCCCCTCCCTTTGCTCCCTTGTCAGACAAAATAACAACTTAGATCTGTAAGTAACAGAAGCCAAATACCTCTAGCAGAAGGGAACTTTCTCATCCTTCCCTGCCTCACTGCAGCCTTCTGTGCCCCCTGAAACTATGCTGACTACTATGCTGGTCAGTGGACCAAACTATGCTGGTCAGTGGACCAAAAAGAATAGTGTGCAGAGTAAACTGGGCATCCATAGCAGGTGGGGAGAAATATTAAAAAGTCTCCTTCCTCGGTGTATGGGGAAACTATTCTGTCAGAGGAGTCGCTGCTGTGTTAACAGAACAGGACCTTGGGATCTAGGAATGTGCTGTGTGTCTTTACAAACAAACAGCGGTCACCCAAAGCTGCAGGGCAGGCAAAAGAATTCACAGCCAGCCACTAAAGACAAGGGATTCTGGGAAAGACAGTGCCACTGTTCTAACTGTTAGCGGAACCCTCTATCAACAAAGGACATTACAATGCAGGGAATGAAGAGGTTCTCTCAGCCTGCTATTCCGTTACACAAGGCCTGCCTCTCTACAGATGTGTATTGCAAGCCACTGCGGATCTGAAGGGTTTGTGGTGCCCCTTGGACCAGCCAGGTCTATGCAGTACCACACATTGGCCCAACAATACTAACTCGGGTAATCAGTGTCAGGGACTCAGAGTCAGAATTTTGTCCAACTGGTGGTGCAAAGTGCTGTCAAGTCACAGCTGACTTCTGGCAACCGCGGAGGGTTTTTAACGAGGGCCACAGTTGCTATCCTTGGACTCTGTATGGCTTCCAACTAACGGCTCGGATCCCACAGTGAATCTCTGCTGACAGGAGCCCTGCACCTCCCTCTTTGTGCTCCAGTCCAAACCTAGTCCAGTGGACCCCTAGGAACAGCATGAGAGGGGAGCTGGAGGTCTGCAATGGGGGGAGGGGGGGGAGGAGAGTCCCAGCAAAAATCACCACCATTACCTGAACAGGATCCAGCTCCATAAACAACTCAGCACGTGCCCTAAGTGAAGCAACAACTGCTGCTTCTTAAAACACGCGGCTTGTACCTCAACCCCACACCGTGCCTTGTTCATGGAAATTTAATCTACCATCCATCATCCCACGTTTTTCCTTATTTTCCCCATCCTATTTACGTGTCACAACATTGCCTTTTGATATTATATTTTAATATGGTATTATTTCAAATGGCTCCCTCCCCCAGCATAAAAAGGGAGAAAGCGGCAGGCAAAGCAGGAAAAGAGAAGGGCTTCCCAGAGAACCTTTTTTGCCGGACTTTGGTCCTCCCGGTCTGTCTCGGGCTCTTGACTGAGTTTTCGTTTGGCGGACAACCGTCTGCGTTTCAAGGGGGAGGGAGGTGTGGTACTCCCAGCGCCATTCAGATCCTTCTCATGGATTTTCATGTGTCTAAAGACAAGTGGAAAAGGAAGGGGAAGTAAGAGTCAGCCATTCATCAGTTTCTAAATTACAAAGCGAAGTTTTAATAAAAGTTGCATGAAACCATATGAGGGGGAGGGGGGACGTTAGCACTCCCCTGCCCCTTCCATCCTGTAAATTTTATAAGTATCCAAAACCAAGCCTGCTTATGCAGCATTACCAAGAGGAGATAACTACTGCACATGTCTATTTTAATTTGCTTGGTCATAAATCCTTGAGGAAGCAAATCTACAATATTAAAAGCACGCATAATGTTTAACAGGTGCGTCACTGACGATGGATGAGAATAAAAATAAGGTTTCAGGCTCTGTTTAGGTGATTTCCTTTCTCTTTCCTCAACCCGCCCCCCAAATACACCACCTTAATCCCCTTGTCCCCTCATCAGAACGTCCGTTCAGATTTGCCAGCCTTCATTTCAGAAGGAAGACTAAAATGCAAGTTCAGCAACACTCAAACAAACTCGGGTAGCCTGTCACTTGTAGTTTGGCTTTTATAGTTGCAGCTGACTCTTCAAGACACACGCCCCTTTGTTTGTGTTGGCCCCCCCCCCCCCGTTGCCATGATGTGCAAAAGGAACGGCCCTGGTGGGATACACACCGCAACAGACAACGCAAAGGGACCCTTATTTCAGAACGCTGCTACTTGACAACGCAGCCCTTTGATTTTGACCGATTCAACTATTCAGGCTGACTGGGGCTGTACAATTCAAAGGGTCGCCGAAGCTGTACACTGATTTCATTGCTCTGGATTGCTTCCTGGGATGCCACGAGATGTTCGCAGGGGATGCTGTTTTACCAAGGACACTGAAAATCGCCGGGCAGTTCTGGATATATCGACATACCTCAGCCTCTTGCCAGGCGCATTCCCCTACAGTCATCTACTTCCACGCAGGTGACCCACCAACAACACAACTGCAACCCACAGGTGAATCTTGAGTCTACAATAGGGTTGCCAGGTGTGTCCTCCCCCCCTCCAGCCACTGGTTGCCAAATCCAGGTTGAGAAACTCCTGGAGATTTGGGGATGGAGCCTGAGGAGGACAGGGACCTCAGTGGGGGACAGGGCCACAGAGTCCGCCATCCAAAGCTGCCATTCTCTCCAGAGGAACTGAGCTCCGTAGTCTGAGATAAGATGTCATTCCTGGGGATCCCCACCTGGAGGCTGGCTTCACTAGTCTACAATCAAAGTCGTATTTTTCAATTATTCTAGCAAAAACACGACTGTGTGCATATACTATTAAATAGTTGAAGAAGAACTATAATAACCAGAGGAAACAACCCACTTTTCCTGTCTGAATCCAAGAGGCTGTTACCAGCACATTCTTACTGGATATTAATTTAAAAATAAACACAAGTTCTGTGTAATAAGGAGTGTGTGTGTGCGTAGGGGGGGAGAATGAACTAGCACACTGAACTGGCTTATTCGTTTGACAAGGTCAGCAGATTTCTTTCCTCTCTGGCAAGGGTGGGGCAAAAGATTAATTGACTAGCAACACCAGAGATACTAGAACAAAAAGAGGACTGTCTTTCTGCTCTGCCACTCTGCAGAACTGACATGGGAATACAAGACAACTGTTAAGTGCTGCGACTCTTTCTTCCATCTCTGCAGACACCTGGGAGGCTGAGCACAAAACACGCAGAGCCGCATGTACAAAACCGATAGAGAAACTGGCAACAAACATGCCAAAAACGATGCCCTGCACAGAATGTATTAGCTTAGTATCTTATCTACAGTAACTAACATCAATAAAACAGTTCCTTTCCGTTAGCCTGCATTATGAAATTCAAAAGGAAGTTTAAGAACGTGCAATTTATCTCACTCAGGGCTATTTCTGAGCCGGAACGCACAGGAACGGAGGTCCGGCTGGCTTCAGAGTTGGCCACGCCCACTACAAAACCTCTGTGTGTGTGGTTACAGACGGAAGGCCTGGAGAGCGACACACACACACCCGGCGACTCCGAGGCAGGTGGGCGGGGGGGGGGCTGGAAAGATTGGGGAGGCATTTAAATGCCTCCCCATGCCTTGCCTGTCCTGTCCAAGGGCCGGCTTGCCCAGACTCCCTGCAGCCGCGGGGCACCAGGGCAAGCCAAGGAAAGGCATGAGGACGTGGCCTAATATGCTAATGAACTGTGCTGCCAGGGGTGTGGCCTAATATGCTAATGAGTTTCTGCTGTTGGATGTGGCCTATTACGCTAATGAGTCCCTGCTGGGCTTTTTCTACAAGAAAAGCCCTGATCTCATTTACAGCATTTTTGCCACCTCTCTAGGAAACCTGCCCACGGTGGCTCGCAAGATAAAACACAATAAAAACACCATGCACCATTAAAGTGGTTGGTTAAAAGGGAGAATTAAAAACACAGCCAGAGAGTAAAACCATAGCTCTAAGTGGCTTAAAATAGATTTTGTAAACCATTTTCAGTCTAAAAAAAGCACATCATACAAATGGCATTAAAAATCAACCACTCGTTTAAAAACCAGCATAAAAAGAAAGCATTTTTGACCGATAACTGAAAAAAAGCAGTAAAGGTGCTGGAGAGCCTCAAAGGGAAGGGCTTTCCACAGGTGAGGAGACACCACTGAAAAGGCCCTGTCTCTGGTCACCACATGCTCTACCTCTGAAGGCAGGGGCTAGGGTGGGGAAATTCCTGGACATTTGAAGGTGGAGGCTGCAGAGGGAGTTCTGCAATGATAGGATGCCATGGAATCCACCCTCCAGAGCTACCATTTTTTTCCAGCAGAACAGAACTGTGTAGTCTTTACAGCAGAGATCCCCAGACCTTTTGGGCTTGTGGGGGCCTTTGGGATTGTGACACAGCACGGTGGGCACAACCACAAGATGGCTGCTGCAGAAAGCGGAGCCAGCAACAAAATGGCAGCCACTGGTTCCCCTCAGACACAAAGTGAAGATCCTTGTGCTGCCGTGGTCGCTGCTGCCAAAGCAACACTTTAAAAAAATTGCCTAGCCAATCAAAATCTTCAGTGGTGAATCAGAAGCCTTGCTGGATAAAAGTCACACCCACTTTCCCAAAACACTAGGCAGGCACCAGGAAAGAAGTCAGCCACCACTGCCATGGTGCCCATGGGCACACGTTGGGGACACCTGCTATATAGGAAGTGCTATGCAAAACAAAAAAAAGCATCTTGCACAGGATTCTCAGATGGAAAAACTTTGGAAGGAAGGTGCTATGAGGGGCAGGGAAAGGAACCAAGTTGTTGTAGTCAAGCCAAGCTAATATCTCATGATTCATCCTTCTAGGAACTATGGCATTTCCAGCATCTTAACTTCACTTTACCACACCCTAAACTTAGCAGGCATCCTTATAGTCTTCTCCCTCCAGGGCTTCCAGGTGAGAACAGATAGATGAGCATCACACATTGGGGGGGATATGTTCAGACAATGCCGCAGCAACACAGAAAAGCTGCATTCCCACAGTTCCAGAACCCCATCTTCAACTACATTCTGAACCTTAAGCCTCCAGAAGAACAAACCCTCCAGTAATAACTTAGCACTTGTAGTGTTCTGAGTGATCACTGCACTTCCTTTACGTGATCATGTCACTCTTCAATTTTATTTTTTGTCATAGGACAGAAATGGGGCCCTGACCTGGACAGCCCGGGCTAGCCCTATCTCACCAAATCTCAGAAGCTAAGCAGGGCCAGCTGTGGTTAGTACTGGGATAAGAGACAGTCTAGGAAGGTCACAGGTGCTCCACAGGGGCAGTAGGCTTGCCATTCCCTGGGTCTGGGCAAGGGGTCCCCTGATTTCACAGGCCTCCTGCCTGCCATGGACCAGCTGGCTGGCAGGAGGAACTCCCCCCACCCCCAGTGTTGTCCTGTGCAACTTCCTGACATCACCCGGAAGTGACGTCATCGTGCCAGGCACATCGTGCAGGGACACTCTAGTGTTTGGGTAAAAAAACTCTATGCTCACCATAGAGTTTTCACCCAAATGCTAGAGTGTCCTCTGCATGACATGCCCAGCAAGGCTCCCCCTGCTGGCCTGCGGTGGATTGGGGGGGGGGTCAGAAAGTGGGGGAACCCCCACTCCCATTGGAGGGTTGGCAACCCTAAGCCCAGTGGCCCCTTACAGACTAAGGAAATTTATTCCAGAGTCAGTGCTCACGAAAGCTCATGCAGCAATAAGTCTTCTTTGTCTTTTTACGGTACCGATGGACTTTTAACTACATAAAACAAAAGTCACATTTTACTTTGTATTAGGACCAACCAAAATGACACAAAGAAACGTTCTAGCCATCAAGTTCTCCAGAACGTCTTAGGCTGGATGTTAAACATCTTTCAGTCCATGATGAGGACCAACCAAAATGACACAAAGAAGCGTGCAAGCCATCAAGCTGGATGTTAAACATCTTTCAGTCCATGATATCAAGACTTCCAGTTGGCTGTAATAAAAGATTTTGTGTTGCTTTGGATTTAATGTGGCTCCCTGAAACCTCCTTCTACTTAGGAAGCCTTTTGCAAACACTGACCGCTCTCAAAGTCCTGCATGCAACCCCAACTTCTCTTTCTCCATGGCTTTCCTGCCAACACTTCATCAAACTTCTAAGGGACAATTTAAAAGATTCCAGATGTGTCATATTTGGCATTAAGGATGCACCCTGAAACACAGTGACGTTATAACTCACCAGAAAAAAACGAGTGTACCTGGGAGGCCTTCTGCACCATTGCTTGAACTGCTCATCAATATGATCTATGCTTAAGTAATGTATTCCATAAAACTCAAGTTACCTTCCACAAGGAAGTACAAGAAATGACAAGACAATGCAGGGCGGGCGGGGGGACGACGACACCCTATTCTGTATATGCTTGTCTCAACTGTATAGGGAACTGCTGCAGTTCTACCTTAACACGTGGACAGGACAAACCCCTCCCTCCAAAACACACACACACACACACCACTTGCCCAACCTGTTCTAGTTTGGCATGCAAAAACTGAGCAAATATCAGACTGTA